AACAGAAAATTAGTTCATTATTTACAAAATACTCTAGCTTGATTCAGACTTTAGTCATCATACAAAGACACTTGAGACGTGGTCATTAGATATATACGCACAACACAGATAAATGATTAAGGTCTAAAATAACAGGCTCAAATAAACAGGTTAAGAGGCTAGTTAACTATTTAACTACCCCTACATCTCCACCACAAATGCCTTCCTGTATTCCTTCCATGTCCATTTTCTGTTATGTATCCACCACTCATCCATCAGTTTGCTGTACTGTGGTGGCTTATGTGTTGCTGTGATGCAGGAAGCTATGTCAACAGTATTTCAAATACCAGAAGGCTCACCCATGGTGGACAGGTTTCAGTGGTGCTTCTAGACTAAGACAAGGAAGAAGGACCTGGTGGTCTACTTCTGAAAAGAATTAGCCAGTGAAAACCTTATGAATAACAGTGGAACTGGCATAGTGCTGGAAGGTAAGCCCCACAGGTAGGAAGGAACTCAAAATATGACTGGGGAAGAATTGTCTTCTCAAAGTAGAGTTGACCTTAATGACGTTGATAGAATAAAGCTTTCAGGACCTTCATTTGCTGATGTGGCATAACTCAAAATGAGAAGGAACAGCTGTTAACATCTATTAATAACTGGAATGTGGAATGTATGAAGTATGAATCTAGGAAAATTGGCAGTCATAAGAAATGGAAATGGAACACATAAGATCAATATCCTAGGCATTAGTGAGCTGAAATGGACTGGTATTGGCCATTTGATCTGGACAAACATGTGGTCTACTACGCCAGGAATGACAAATTGTAGAGGAATGGTGTCGCATTCATCCTTCATTGTCAAAAATAACATTTCAAGAGCTACCCTGAAGTACAACACTGTCAGTGATAGGATACTATTCATATGCTGTCATGGATTGAATTATGTCCCCCAAAAATATCTGTCAACTTGGCCAGGTCATAATTTCCAGTACTGTATGACTGTCCACCATTTTGTCATCTGATGTGATTTACCTATGTGTTGTAAATCCTATCACTATGATGTTAATGAGATGGATTAGCAGCAGTTTTATTAATGAGATCTACAAGATTAGATTGTGTCTTAGCCAATCTCTTTTGAGATATAAAAGGGAGAAGCAAGCAGAGACGGGGGACCCCATACCACCAAGAAAGCAGTGCCAGGAGCACAGCATGTCCTTTGGTCCCGGGGTCCCTGCAGAGAGAAGCTCCTAATCCAGGGGAAGACCGATGACAAGAACCTTCCTCCAGAGCTGACAGAGAGAAAGCCTTCCCCTGGAGATGACACCCTGAATGCGGACTTGTAGCCTCCTAGACTGTGAGAGAATAAACTTCTGTTTGCTGAAGCCATCCACTTGTGGTATTTCTGTTATAGTAGCACTAGATAACTAAGACATGGGCCTATAAGGAAGACCAGTTAATACCGCTATTATGCAAATTTACACACCAACTGCTAAGGCCAAAGATGAAGACATTGAAGACTTTTACCAACTTCTTCAGTCTGAAATTGATCAAACCTGCAGTCAAGACGCATTGATAATTACTGACGACCAGGATGTGAAAGTTGGAAACAAAGAAGGATCGGTAGTTGGGAAATACGGCCTCAGTGATAGAAATGATGCTAGAGATTGCATGACAGAATTCTGCAAGATCAACGACTTCTTCATTGCAAATATCTTTTTTCAACAACATAAACAGTGACTATACACGTGAACCTTGCCAGATGAAATACACAAGAATCAAATCGACTACATCTGTGGAAAGAAACAATGGAAAAGCTCAGTATCATCAGAACAAGGCCAGGGGCCAACTGTGGAACAGACCATCAATTGCTCATATGCAAATTCCAGTTGAAGCTGAAGAAAATTAGAACAAGTCCATATGAACCAAAGTACGACCTCTAGTATATCCCACCTGAAATTAGAGACCATCTCAAGAACAGATTTGACACACTGAACATTAATGACCAAAGACCAGAAGAGTTGTGGAATAACATCAAGGACATCATACAGGAAGCAAGCAAGAGGTCATTAAAAAGACAGGGAAGAAAGAAAAGACCAAAATGGATATCAGAAGAGACTCTGAAACTTGCTTTTGAATGTGGAGTAGCTAAAGTGAACGGAAGAAATGATAAAAGAACAGAACAAAAGATTTCAAAGGGCGGCTCGAGAAGACAAAGTAAAATATTATAATGAAATGTGCAGAGACCTGGAATTAGAAAATCAAAAGGGAAGAACGCCCTTGGCATTTCTCAAGCTGAAAGAACTGAAAAGAAAATTCAAGCCTCAAGTTGCAACACTGAAGGATTCTATGGGCAAAATATTGAATGACACAGAAAGGATCAAAAGAAGATGGAAGGAATACACAGAGTCACTGTACCAAAAAGAAATGGTCAACATTCAACCATTTCAGGAGGCAGCATATGATCAAGAGCTGATGATACTGAAGGAAGAAGTCCAAGCTGCACTGAAGGCACTGGAGAAAAACAAGGCTCCAGGAATTGACGGAATACCAGCTGAAATGTTTCAACAAACAGATGCAACGCTGAAGCACTCACTTGTCTATGCCACAAAATCTGGAAGACAGCTACCTGGCCAACCAACTGGAAGAGATCCCTATCTGTGCCCATTCCAAAGAAAGGTGATCCAACAGAATGTGGAAACTGTCAAACAACATCATTAATATCACATGCAAGTAAAATTTTGCTGAAGATAATTCGAAAATGGTTGTAGCAGTATATCAACAGGGAACTGCCAAATTCAAACTGGATTCAGAAGGGGACATGGGCTAGGGATATCATTGCTGATGTCAGATGGATCTTTGCTGAAAGCAGAGAATACCAGAAAGATGTTTACCTGTGTTTTATTGATTATGCAAAGGCATTCGACTACGTGGATCATGACAAATCATGGCTAATGGGAATTCCAAAACACTTAATTGTGCTCATGAGGAACCTGAACACAGACCACGAGGCAGTTGCTTGTACAGAACAAGGGGATATTATGAGGTTTAAAATCAGGAAAGGTGTACATCAGGGCTGTATCCTTCCAATATACTTATTCAATCTGTATTCTGAGCTAATAATCTCAGAAGCTGGACTATATGAAGAACATACGATGGCATCAGGATTAGAGGAAGACTCATTAACAACTTGTGATAAGCAGATGACACAACCTTGCTTGCTGAAAGTGAAGAGGACTTGAAGCCCTTACTGATGAAGATCAAAGACTATGGCCTTCAGTATGGATTATACCTTAACATGAAGAAAACAAAAATTCTCACAACTGGACCAATGAGCAACATGACGATAAATGGAGAAAAGACTGAAGCTGTCAAGGATTTCATTTTACTTGGATCCAGAATCAACACCCATGGAAACAGCAGTCAAGAATCAAATGATGTACTGTATTGGGCAAATCTGCTGCAAAAGACCTCTTTAAAGTGTTAAAATGGAAAAACGTCACTTTGAGGATTAAGGTGTGCCTGACCCAAGCCATGGTATTTTCAATCGCCTCATATGCATGCGAAATCTGGAAAATGAGTAAGAAGACTAAAGAAGAATTGATGCCTTTGAATTATGGTGTTGAATACTGAATATACGATGGACTGTCAGAAGAATAAACAAGTCTGTCTTAGAAGAAGTACAGCCAGAATGTTCCTGAGAAGCGAGGATGGTGAGACTTCATCTTATGGACTTTAAACGTTATCAGGAAGAATCAGTCCCTAGAGGAGGACATCATATATCGTAAAGTAAAGAGTCAACGAAAAAGAGGAAGACCCTCAACAAGATGGACTGACAGAGGGCTCCGACAGTGGGTTCAAACGTAGCAATGATTGTGGAGATGGCCCAGGACCAAGGCAGTATTTTGTTTTGTTGTACTTGGTGATGCTATTAGTCCAAACCAACAGCACCTAAAAACACAACAACATGTATTTTTCTTGCTCTTACTTATTACCTCTAAAGTATAATACCTCTGCTCCCTATTTATTATTAGTTTTCATGGAAAACTGAAATTCATACTGAATTCTACATACTTTGTGTGTGTAGATGGTACTTATAATATTCTATAACGGAAAGAGTAAAAAGTAGCAAAATAAAATTGACAGGTATGAGAGGCTTAAAATTTTTGTGGATTTTGTAATTGGTTGAGACATAATGTTCTGCAATTATAACAAAAATGCTCTGAACTGTTTTCAAAAATAATTTTGTCAAAGAAGGACATTTGCTGAGTTCCTTTTAAAAATTTCTACTTGAAGGAAAAACATAAAGTCTCAGTAAAAACAAAACCTACAAAAAAAAAAAGAAATGAAAAAAAATCCACAAACAAAAGGAATTCAGCACAGGAGAGTTAGAAGAACAAAGAAAACATCAGCACCACAAAAAAAAAGCACTACAAAATGACAGCAATAAGCTCACACCTATCAATAATTACACTGAATGTAAATGGACTCAAAGCACCCATAAAGAGACAGAGAGTGACAGAATGGATAAAAAAAATTTCTACTTGAATGAAGAAGAGCTGGAGCTGCTTTTCAATGTATATTTTGCTTTCTTATATCTTCAAAATACTTCATTTATTATTATTTTGTGTTTGTTTTTAAGGTGAATTTGAATTTATGGTTAAAAAATATCCTACTACCAGTAGGATACGTTGTATAATAATAACGTGATGAATATCACATATTATTCTTTGTTTGAATGTCATAGTCTTCTCAGGTTGAAAACATGGTAGCTATAGGTTTCTCACTTTTATTAATCTTCTCAAAAACTAAGCACTAAAAATGTGAAAATTTACACTGCTTTACCATACAGTATTATTTGCTTACAATACTTATTTCAATTAATTTTAACTGAAGACAAAGTTTACACTGAAATAAGGCTTTTCAATATTAAAATAATATTGCTAAAACTTTATTAAAAGTAATCACTCCTATAAATTACTCTGAGGAAAATAAAACTTCTTCAAATATGAAATCTGGACATACCTCTAACATTAATTGTGTAAACTCTTCATTACTAAGGAATGTAGGTTTCCAATCCTGTCGAATTTCACTAGCATCTGACTGGGCAGTGATTTCTGTAAATAGATTATTTGACATATTAGTGGCATATTCCAAACCACCAGGGGGAGTACCAAGTTCTACAAGCTGCCTCCTCACTTCCCACTCTAATTAAAGACAAGAACCATAGGCAATAACATTTATAATTCTAAGTATCAAGAAGTCTAGGTTTTGTTATGGTGAAATATTTGAGCTAATATGGCAAATTAGCTGCTTGGATTTAGTCTCTTGGGAATACCAGTCTAGTTTTTCTCTGGGGAGCTTTGATAGCCTGAGATGGGCCTGAGATTGCTTCCTGCTTCACCCAACAACTAAACAATAAAAGTCATCTATTACCACCATTAATGAAGAACAAGGCAGATTAGATCAAGTTTGCTCTAAGCATTACAAAATAATTCTTTTTCCTCTTCCTTCCTTGCCATTCAACTGGTGATAACTAGAGGGTGGAGATAACGATGTGAGCCTGGAGGAAACAGGCCAAGAAGGTCAACCAGCCTGCTTTTAACAAGTGCTCGGGCCTACCTACTGCCAGGCAAAATGATTCCTCCCAGTCCTACTCTATCTTAATCAAGGAGACTAAATTAAGATTCTGGGCAAAAACTTTATCTTAATAATTCCAGAGTGATTTTACTTACTGTCTTCTTTGCATATGTTCTTAATGGCAGGGAGCTAATCAAGAATTTGGAGATCCCTGGTTTAGGCTACATATTTTATCACAATTATTACTGTTTTATTTTGCTACATACTTCTAATGAATTTACTTATGAGAAAGCTATTTGTAACTGATGGAACCTGAACTGCTTATGTAACAAAAGTTTTTCAATTTTAAAATTCAAACATACTAAAGCAGAATTAAAATTGTAAAAACTATGTCTTAGATTATGCTCTACAAAATATACTTTACGGTAAAAAAGTATTGGCTTTGTTTTTATTTTTTTATTAGCAGAATATACAAATACAGTATATTAAATTACCACCCAAAATTCGGCATATTAGAAATGCCTGTACTGTAATATGCAGAGTAACTAAGAAGTACAGCCACCAACTCTGTGGCATTAGCCCTGCTTCTCAGCATGACATCAATTATACACATTCAAAAAAGAGGATGTGAATCCACAAGTAAATTCCATCAAGTTTAGTTAGATTCAGGCCTATTGTAGAGTAATAAGTATGTAAGAATTTCTTTTTAATGTAAATTTTATTTTTGTGAGAATTATATACTCATTTAAAAAAAAACGATTTACTGATCAACTGATGTCAAAATTATTCTTCTACTGTCAAAGGGAAATGCACGCACTTAATTTCATTTCATTCAACAATCACTTATTGAGTATACATTTAAGAGTGTACAACTCTAAAAATGGGCATAGAAGTTAGTGAGAATACCACTATATTTGTAGAGGTGAAATGATGAGAAGCAATTTTGACACATTTACAGAAGACTCAATAAAATTTGGCAACGGATTAGATATCGGTACTAAAGAAGATGAAAGCTCCGAAAATCTTTTTAGGTTTGTGGCCTAGGTGACTGAAAGGACAGTGGTGTAAAATGGAAAAAGGAAAGTTGGAAGAGAGAGGTGACTTGACAAAACGAAAATGAATTTAGTTTTAGTTTTGCTGAATTTGAGGACATGCGAAAGAAAGATCCAGAAGTTATCTGGAAATAGAAGGCTGAAAAGTTTGCATCTAAAAATACAGATTTGGTAGTTAATAGAGAGGCAATAGCTGAAGCTGTGGAATGAGGGAACCAAGGGAAAGAGTGTAGGGAAAGCAAGAGTGTAAAGGATAAGCCCTTGAGAAACATCTAGAGGGCAGGAAAAAAAAAAGAGGAAAGAAGCTAGTGTCAGTTAGGGAGAAGGAGGTGAATGAAGAAGTGTAGTATGTATAATGGAAACCAAGGGAAAAGAAAGCCAGTGGAGAATAGATTAAAATTTCTAGAGCTTACAGAGATGCAGAAGAGAATGAAGTGTAAGAAGAAACTATTACTTTATAGAAGACCCGTTGCCGTTGAGTCTATAGGACAGAGCAGAACTGCCCCACTGAATTTCCAAAGAGTGGCTGGTGGATTCGAACTGCTGACCTTTTGGTTAGCAGCAAAGCTCTTAACCACTGCATCACCAGGGCTCCTTTATAGAAGAGCAGTCATTAATGAAATCAACAAAAATAATTTCAAAGAATGGTGGAGCACAAACCAGGCTCGTAAGGCATTATTGACTGAGCTGGAGAAGTAAATAGAGGTGCTAGTTACAAACTCTCCTTCTGAGAAGTTTTAGAGTTTCATTTGCAATTGAAAAAGGAGATGTCCTTTCACAAGTTTTTCACCTATTATCTCTGAAACCAAAATCCATAATGTTCTTTAAATTTCCTTTTCATGACTCATTCAGTCGGGATGATTTTCTTCAATTAGCAAATACTTTACTTTAAAACACAGTGTTTATTTCCTAGATATTCACTGAAACAAATTAAGGAAAACACAATCTTTTAAATGACATATAAGGCCTTCATAATCTAGTTCTTGCTTTTCTTTCAAAGACATCCATGACTTTCCAACTCAAACTCTGTGCTGCTGTTACAATGAACTCTCCCTGCTTCTCTGCTTTTGGACGTACTATGTCCTCTTTGTGAAATGCTATTTTCCATACCTAATCTAAAAGAAAGACTCAGCTGAAAATGCAACTATTTTAAAGCCTTCCCTGACACATTCTTTCCTCTGTGTTCTCACTGCAAGTTTACAGTTTACAAGCACTTCTCACATTATAATTATTTGTATTGTAATTACATGTTTATATGTTTGTCTCCCTAGAATCGAGTTACTTGAGGGCCAGCATTGTTACCCTGCATCCTGAGGATCTAGGATATAGCAGGCCAAATAAATGTTTGTTGAATGAAAGAACAAACACATTAGAAAATCTTTAAAAAAAGACAATAGATTTCTCTTTCTTATAAAAGCTCAGGAAGCATTCACTTTAAAGCATCAAAGGTTCTAACTCATTATGCTTTAAGGGACAGTAGTATATTATTAAAAACAGACTCCATTTTACAAAGAAAAAAAATTTACCTTTATGTTTTCGTAAAAAATCAATGCTCTTCTGTAGAACAGTGGATTTGTCCATCTTTCTAGCATTACCAGGAAGCATGGATCCCAGTTCTTTAATGAGAACATTAAACTGGTCTCTACGCTTCTTTTCAGATTTGTTTCTAGACACTCTGATGAAATGAAAAATTAAAAAAGCAGTTTTAGAACAATCCATTTAGTTATACAAATAGTTTAATACAATGCTCAATTTGAACATGTCTACACAGCATTTACTTCTATCAATACATTGTTGTTATGTGCCATTGAGTAGATTCTAACTTATAACAACCCTTTAGGACGGGACAGAACTGCTAATAAATATTTCCTAGATTACTAACAATATACAGTTAATTTGGGCAATAATTTTTCATTTCAATTTATGCCTAAAGAAACTTTTACATACTAAGCATTTGGGCATACGTGTTTTTATTAAAATGGGAGTAAGACAAATTGTCTTCAGATCTTAGGTTTTATTTAATCCAAAATTTACCAAGGATTGCATTTTCCCTATAACGTTATTGTGAATATTACTGAGATACTTTTTGTGAAAATATAAACTTAAAAATTATTAAAGAAGAAAATTATCCAGCCAGTGTAACTTTAAGTCAGAAATAAAAATCTAAAAATGAAACTCTCCCTACCCCCAGGCCTGCCTACACATTCTTCCCCTTTATGCCTCTACACTCCTACACCCAAGCCTCCAACACAGAGCTGTAACCATTTGTTTGTATACCTGTCTCCCCTTTAGGCTGTGGACTCCTAGAGAACAGAGCCCACATTTTTTTTTTAAGGTAGTTAAGCACACCACCTAACAAATAGGAAGCACTCAAAATATATGTGCTAAATGAATAATTACCACTATTCTACGTAAATCACAGATAGAAAAATAGGTATATTATATTTTGTAAAATGGGTCTTTTTGAAAATTTATATGCAAGTATTTTGAATTGTAATTCAACTGTATTTGCTAATTGATTTATATAAAATGTGGTGATTTTTAGCTCTACTTTTGATAAATTTCAGGACAGCCCTGATTTGTAATTTCTAGCTTTCAGTTTCTCAGCAATCCTGCTTTCCTCCTCTTTCTGTGTAATATGAAGCAGTAATCACTAAACAAACAGTTGCACTGGGAGCTCTTGAGGCTGAAATGAATGCAATTATTCATAAATCAACTGATCATTTTGTAACACCTCTAATTATCTGCTTTGTGAAGGCAGATTTTCTAATTCAGTTTTTGTTTAAGCAAGACATAATACTTCTACAAAAGATCAGAGGATAATTTTAATTTACAAACTGTATACTGATCTTCTAAGTTTTTTCCACCTTGCTAATATCACTAAATTCTTAAAGCAAAGGGCTTTTGGAAATCATTGATTTATTATTTATTTACTATTAAATGAATTTTTTTATTCATTTATTTACTATTTTACATCTCAAGGAGAGCTACCTTTTTGCTTTGTCCTTGTCATCTTCTTCCACCAACCCATCAAAAATACTACTGTCATCTCTAAAAGAGAAAAAGAAGTGAACACAGAAAACAGGTGTAGACTCAGAAGCAACAGCAATACTAAAACGACATATGGATCAACTCAGTTATAGCCAAGGATTTTTGTAAAGTTATAGGATTGCACTGATTCAAACTCAATAATTACTAACTTGTTTACTAATATTAGAAAATCAAAGTTCAGTTATGTTTACTTACATTTTTAAAAGTTTATTTACATATATGAATTTTTAACGTATTTACTTAGCTCTACTATGCATAAAACAACGAGCTGAGTAAAAATTTAATTTAATCATGGGTTAAATATCTTGTTTCAAATTTTAAGTAATCAGTGAAAATCTATAGCAAGTCAGTGTATTTGTCATTATACAAAGTCATTCACTTGAAATTATCTTTATTAATTATAATAGCAGTTTTAAAAACATACTTTCTTATATACTTTATAAAACCATAAATTAATCATAAACATCACAATAGCTAGCATATTAACTTACACATTTTAATTTATTTACTGATTCATTTGACAAATGTTTATTAGCACCCATGTGCCAGGCTCTGGTCTAGATGCAGTTACAGAGCAGTAAACAAGACACATACATCCCTGCTCTCCTGCAGCTTATTTTCTAGTGGAAAGAAAGAAAGAAAAGAAACAAACAGGAAAATGTGTGGTAAGTCTTATTTTTTAAAAAGAGGTAATGTTTTTAGCTACTGGTAGTTACTTTAGACTGAATGGTCAAGGGAATGACTTGTTGTGGTTGAGACATTTGAGCTGAAATCTAAGTGACAGGAAGGGGCTGGCCATGGAAGACCTGGGATTCCATGTATATCCAGAATTTATGAAAAATTCTGTATGTTTATGCATTTTTTCTGAAGAGAGGGTCATAACTTTCATGATATTCAGAGAGATCAGAAACCAATATTAAGAACTTTATTGTTTGAGTCTGAATGCTCAGATGTCATCCTTAGGTTTCATCTTGTCTAGAATGGGAATTGGCAATCTTTCAGAAGCATAATGCCAAAACCATTTTTAACCTCTCAGGGCCAATGAGGAAATATCCTTTCTGAGGAGAAGACTACTTATAGATCCCACCTGCAACTACTGCATAGCTCAAAGCTACTGGCAGTGGTGCAGGCAGGCCTCCCTGAGGAAACTACTTGCCCCTCAGGTCTTAAGTTCTGGTAGAGTACATATCTTCACTGTTTAGCTCTTAGAAAAGGGAAGAGAGCTGCTTATAGATGTCAAAATTCACTTCTGTGTACAATTCTAGCTGCAAAACTATTAAAGAATCCCCTATGGAAGAATCACACAGTAACTTTAGAGTCAGACAGGTCAAAATTCCAACACAGGTCAAAATTTCTCATCACTTACTAGCTGTGTGAACTTAATCAAGTTCATCTGTAAAACTTCATGGAATTATTGTAAGGTTAAATGAAGTAACATATAAAAAGTATTCTGCACATTACCTGTTAAACAGTAGGTGCTTAAAAAATGTTACTGTACTTTATTAAAGCTAAGACACCACTAATTATATACTCACCATTACTTTATGTACCACTAAGAAAAAAAAATGCTCCCAATTAAACTATGATAAGCCAATTGTAAGATGCATCCCTATTTCAGAGATGTTAGCAAAACAAACAAACAAAAAAAAAAAGAAAATCAGTCTTAGAATCAAAGGAATAAAGAGGTTTACCCTTTCGCCAAGATTAAGATTTCAGCTAATGAAATCTTAACTACAGTAACTCTTACCAGTAACAAATGCTAAGATGCTTGAAGGATGGAGTTAACCTTATCACCAAGAGACAAGGAGAAAAAGGACAAGAGATAAGGAGATAAAAAGACTCCAGAAGGTGCCAAGGAAACACTTGGAATTGTCACAAATTTTTTTCAGAGCAGCTCTGACCAAATCACACAAAATTACAGCTCGAGATCTGTTAGAACACAAGCCATACACTGCTGACTTTGGCTTAGGTAACACTGATGTACCTTACTTACTATTACACTGTTTGTCCAATACAGAAATTGAGACTAATAGTAATTATGTTTAAGCATAAAACTCCTTTTAATTTAATACAGACCATTACTCTACTAGTGAAGTTTAAAATAGCTTTAAATAATTCGAAATAAATGAGTCTCTAAAAACATACCTGTCAACAATTGAGCTCATTTTACTACAGCTTACGGTAAACAACATAACATATTACGTTTTCGTCTTGTGGTAGACATTTGTACTTCTCCTTGGGTGAAAAGAAAAATAAATGGTCATTAGTTTTCTAATAAATGTACTTCTACAAACAAAATTATCTTGAGAAATACTATATGTCATCACAGAGACTTCAAAATCTTTTTTGTTTTCATTTGTACAAAAGGCTGAAACATTCTTTTCAAGCGAATACCTTTGGCTGAAGCACACTGAGACTTTTTTTCCTTCTAAAAAAAGGACTACAGAAAAAAAAATTCAGGTTCATAATTCACTTTCTATTATATGATAATCAAAATGGGAAAAAAACACTCTTAATATCCAGTATGTACATTATGACTATATCCAGTGCCATCCAGTCGATTCGGACTCACAGCGACCCTACAGGACAGAGTAGAACTGCTCCATAGGGTGTTTAAGGCTGCAAATCTTCACGGAAGGAGACTGCCACATATTTCTCCTGCAGAGTGGCTGATGGGTTCGTCACCAGTGTTCTGGTTACCAGCCGAGCACTTTAACCATTACGTAAGTGTAAACAGTCTCTAATAACACTGTCTAATCAACATGTGTCATCTAGCCAACTAACATTTGTTGAAAGCCTATTTTCTGCTAGCCAGTGTATTAAGTTTTGAGGATACAAGGATGTAAGACACAGTCCCTGTAGGCAAAAATTTGCAATTGAGTAGGGAGACAGACATCTAAATAATTATAGTAAGAGACATAATGAAGTTTTATTGCATAATGGCATTACTGGGAGAGGAACAACTAAGTGTACCCATGGAAATGAGAGACGGGAGACAGAGGAAATAATTCTCGATGACAATGAGTTTGCCAAGTAGTCTAGATCCTTGATACTGAAAATATGGTCCAGAGACCAGCAGGATCAGCATCATCTGAAAGCTTGTGAAAAGGCAGAATCTTGGACCCCACCCTAGACCGAATGCATCACAATCTACATTTTCACAAGATCCCCTTGTGATTTGTATGGCCATTTCAGTTTGAGAAGTCACAGACTAGAGGATAAGAAGAGATAATAGCTGAAAGGATTCTAAGCCTCAAGAATAGTAACTTGCAAAGGCACAGGCTTTCAAGAGATGACAGAGTATCATATTTGAGAAACTAAAGTGGTTTAGCATTTTCCTTAGAGAAAAATATAAACCAAAACAAAAGCCAACCCCGTTGTCACTGAGTTGATTCCAGCTCACAGTGACCGTTTAGGACAGAGCAGAACTGCCCCAAAAGTTTCCAAGGCTGTAATCTTTACAGGAGCAGACTGCCACGGAGCAGCTGGTCGATTCCAACCACCGACCTTTTGGTTAGCAGCCAAGCATGTAACCACCACGCCACTAGGGCTCATTAGAGAAAAATTCAGGCATGTGATAATTTAAAGTTTTAATTACTAGAGCATAAAGTAAGAAGAGGAGTGGTAGAGATGAAGGTAAGAAAAAAATAGAGAAGAGTCTTATTATAAAGGGTCTTATACTCCCATGAAGGTATTAAAACTTAACTGCTTTAAAATTAAATCACAAGCAGGCCTGAAATTTGTCTTTCCCTATTCTATATAGTCTTTCAAAAAGTGTAAGGCAGGTTTTATATGTGTTTAAGATATTATGTTTTATTATCATGGATTAAATATTAAATAATCACTCTTAATTCTAATAAACATCCTAATATTTTGAGATATAAGAAATTCTACTTTAACTATTACCTTTTTAATTTAAAATTTAGAAAATTAATGTGTAATTCTAACTAAATAAGAGAAGATTAAAGGTGTTCTAAGAACATTAGATTGTAAAAACTTTTATCACTGTTTTCAAATGTACCTTTCTGAGAAAAAGAGAATAATCCTTGATAAATGATGCTGCACTGCCTATGTGGTTATGGCTGCAGAAGCAGGGCTGTGAAGGGCTAAGAGTTCTTAAAGGAAAATAAGTGGAGGAGTCAAAGGCAAAAATAAAAAGGACAAACATCAGGATAAAATATATGATTTTATGTGTCTGGGAAAACACCAACAGATAGAACACAGAATTACAGAATTATAGTTAAAAGAGACTTTAAAGGTCACCTCTCTGGTCCTACAAACATAGTTATCATCATCATAATAACAGAGGCTGGTTCTATCACTGGAAGAAAAAGAACAGTGCCAAGATAATAGAGCCAATTTGGGTGAATTAAAAAAGAACAACTTCAGTTTAAAGTTCAAAAGCTAGTTCTGAGAATTATATGACACCCAATATATACTCGTTTAATTATCAAAAGGTAGAAACAGAGCAAACTAGCAAAAAAAAAAAAAAGCCTGAGTATAAGAAGAATGAATCCAAAATAGTTTAGAAGATACAGACTGATGCTTTATTAGACTATTTTGTATTGCTGTTAATGATATTCTTCCAAAAATTATTTGTTGTCCAGCTAACTGAACATAAGACTATATCTGTAACAATCTAGGCCAAGATATTTTCTCTACTTTTTCAATTACAGACATGACATATATCTATATATGTGTATGTGTGTGTGTCACAGTTCAGTGACACTGGTTACATTCTTCAAGTTGTGCCACCTTTCTCAATATCCTTTTCCAAATTATTTCACCACCATTAACATAAACTTGCTGCCCTCTAAGCTTATCTAACCTTTCAAGTTGCTTTTGTCAGTCTGATCACATAAAGATAATTCTAATTCTTTAAAAGAGCACAATACTCAAGGCAAACACTCTTTACTAATTAAGCTAAATTATGTCTGAAGTCCTTCAGTGGTACAAATGGTTAAGTGCTCGACAACTAGCTGAAAAACTGGTGGTTCAAACCCACCCAGAGGCACCCTGGAAGACAGGTCTGGCAATCTGCTTCCCAAAGGTCACAGCCTTGAAAACCATATGGAGCAGCTCTACTCTGCACGCGTGGGATCGCCATAAGTCAGAATCTGCTTGACAGCACCTAACAACAACATTGTTTGGTTTAAAGATGACTTCAGATATAGACAAGCTGTATTTAAGGGAAAAGTAAAGAAAGAAGTGAAATAGGCCTGACTGAGTACCCTAGAGCAATTGCTGGAAGAAGATTCTCCTTAACTCTTTCAAATGGTGTCAACCTCCTTTAGGTGCTGCCCTATTTTTCTGCTTCCTTTTACAGGAAAACTGCTTGTTAGAGTTAGGTATAACTGCTGTTTCAATGTCCTTACTTCCACTGTCTCATAAACTTTTTTTTCCTCCTGTCTTTTTATAATTCAGAAGTGATCAGGTTTAGGATCCATCACCGCCCCCCACTCCCCACCCCCCACTCCCGTATGGCTTCAATAACATAACAAAAGAAAAACTCTATCGCATAAACTTTAGTGTTTATTTTCACCAATGTACACATGTATGAAGTTTAAAGAGTTCAAATAGTATTACAAAACTTGTTAAAAAATTAGAAGTCCTCTGACCTCCCTTTGTCACTTTCAACCACTTCAATCTCTTTTAACTGTTTCTTTCAGTATTTAACTCCCTGTCTCTAATATCTTCTGTTACTTTCTGATTCTTTCACTTTTAGGTGACTGGACAGATGCAGTTTATGCCAGTTAGCCCAGTGTAATTATTAACAGTGTCTCCTTGGACTCTCAAAATGTTCTCAAAAGTGTCTTTTTTGTCAACTACTAAATTTCACTAAGAAAGATAAGAATTTGGCTCTCTTTCACATTCCCATCCTTGCCTCATACACGTGCAAACTTCCTCAAACTCTCAATATCGTAATTTTGGTTAAATGGTTATATTCAGGGTTATGATTCTATAAATGTAATTCACAGCTGAGCCATAATGTATACTATAATTACCTTCCCTTTCTGAACAGTTGTCCCTAGAGCGAAGATTGTTTTGTTTTATTGTTTACCTAGTTTTCTATATACTTACCACCAATTCAGCCTCAAATTCTCCCTGTCTAAATCTACTCTAAATATCTTCAAACATTACATATTCAACAATTTCATCTCCTGTAGTTATTTCTCTTGGAACCTTCTGACCTATTCCTATTGGAACCTGCTGCTCTCTACGCTAGCTGCACAGCTGTCATCTTGCAATCACTATTCACCATCACATCATCATCATGGTGATTCCCTGGATCTCTACTTGAGTGGCATTCTCTATTTCTTGGATCTTCTGGCTTCATCTTTTAGTTTCTTTTTGTTGAGTACCTGGTGGCACCAATCAACACCCATGGAAACAGCAGTCAAGAAATCAAATGATGGACTGCATTGGGCAAATCTGCTACAAAAGACCTCTTTAAAGTGTTAAAAAGCAAATATGTCACTGTGAGGACTAAGTTGTGGCTGACACACACCATGGTATTTTCAATCACCTCATATGCATGCAAAAGCTGGAAAATGAATAAGGAAGACTGAAGAAGAAATGATGCCTTTGAATTACAGTGTTGGTGAAGAATACAGAATATACCATGGCCTGCCAGAAGAAGTAACAAATCTGTCTTGGAACAAGTACAGCCAGGATGCTCCTTAGAAGTGAGGATGGCGAGACTTCATCTCATATACTTTGGACATGTTACCAAGAGGGACCAGTCCCTGGAAAAGAAGATCATGCATGCTTGGTAGAGAGTCATCGAAGAAGAAAGACCCTTGACGAGATGGACTGACACAGTGGCTGCAACAACAGGCTCACACATACCAAGGATTGTGAGGATGGCACAGGGCCAGGCAGTGTTTCGTTCTGTTGTACCTAGGATTGCTATGACTCAGAACTGACTCGACGACACCTAACAACAGCCTGGTGGCACACTGGTTAAGCGCTCGGCTGCTAACCAAAAGGTCAGTAGTTCGAACTCACCAGTCGCTCCTTAGAAGAAAGATGTTGTAGTCTGCTTTTGTAAAGATTACAGCCTAGGAAACCTACAGGGCAGTTCTACTTTGTCCTGTAGGATCACTAGGAGTCTTGGAAGAAGTACAGCCAGAATGTTCCTTAGAAGCAAGGATGGCAAGACTTCGTCTCACATACTTTAAACATGTTACCAGGAGGGACCAGTCCCTGGAGAAAGACATCATGCTTGGTAGAGG